GAGGGGCGTGGTGAGTGGGGGCAGGGCAGTTCTTTTGTGACATCAAACTGGGGCACCAAATCCTGACTTAAGAGACAACAGCTGTTTTGTATGAGATAGTGCACAGGTCAGAGAGCTGGACTGAGGAGCCCTGAGTTGCAATGTGCCAACAGCACTTTGGGCTAGTGGCAACCCTCTGTGGCCTCAATTTCCCCAACTGTGAATGAATACAGGCTCTCCTCCCTTAATGACTGAGTTCTCTTCCTAAGACTAGGTCCTTAAGGGATTTGGACCATAAGCAAGGAGCTTAAAGACAGATGTCTCCTGGTGTGTCATGGCGCTGTAGGGTATGTAATTTTCAACAGATACCACACGACGCCACACTAGAATAATGTAATTCTATCTATACAAAAAGCATACATTAGATAAGTGCCAGAAAGAGATGAGACACACAATACAGTAAATCTGGCATAATCATTATTCTTAATCATTCTTTATTCTGCAGTTGCACAATAAAGTTCAATTTTATAAATGAAGTACGTAGTCTTGCATGATTGTGAATGCTTCTTTTAATGAATACTAACCAACTGCGGAAACAAGATGAGGACTGAGAAAGGAGAGTCATGAGGGGTTCTCCTGAGCTGGAAAACTGGTTGTAAGTCCCAATGGTCGTGAAACAAGTAGGCCATTAAGTGAGTAGTGGTTGTAATGACAATTATTATTAGTCTTTCTATTGGAATTTTATGGTACAGTTTTACAGATCTAACATGGGTAAACTGAGGAGTAAAGACTTGCTCAAGTCAAAGGCAGAAGCAGGACTGGAACGCAGGAGCTCTCAAATATAAGCCCACTCTCTCCATGAGAAGGGAGCTTGAATCAGATCATTGCAATTTTCTTCCCAGTCTCCTATTTTTTTGATTCTCTCCTTGTCAGTGCATCCATCTTTTCCTGCAACCTTTTTTAAAAGAATTTTAATGTTATTAAATTTTTTTTTTAATTTGCTATGGGGCATGTGTGCTCACCAGAGAGAGAAAGGATAAATGAGAAAGCAAACCTCGAAGTCCAGGACTTGAACTGCGGTCAACTATGTGGAGTCTAGCACCTTTACCACCACACCACCGGCTGGCCTCCACCTTCAGAGTTTCGTAATGCACCTGCATAGATGCCTCAAGCGTAGTACCTAAATTGAACAGAGAATGAGGGGCCTGACTATAGACCACTGGAGATAACAAGAATCTAAGAGATGGCCCAATCCAATCATGTTAAAAATCATTTTTATCACAAAATATCTTGTACATACAAGACTGCATAAAATCCCTTCATCTTAATAAAGTGAGCAATACCTGTGCAATTAGCACCCAGTTGACAAAACGGAACATGACTAGCACTGTTCAATGCCCCAACTGTTACACTGCCTACCTTAGCCTGAAAGTAATCACTACCCTAGCTTTTGTTACAATAACTTACTTTGCTTTTGCCATTTATGTATGCATTTCTCAACAAAGTATTAATTTTCCCTGTTATTGATGTTACATAAATGGAATTCATACTGTATTTGAGTTTTCAAAAATTCATTAAGAAGGTGTATTATAAGATAACTATACATAGATTTCAAAAAGGTTTTAAATTTATATTATTCATGATAGAGCATATATGTGCATGTACAAGACAGAAGCACATTTGACAGGGTCCCATCGTGACATGTTCCCCTTTCCCCAGCCCTCCAGCTGCTCAGGACCTTGAACATGCATGCAGGACCTAGCATCTGTTCAAGTGAACCTGGGAATCTGAACATACTAGGCCAAGTGACTCTTGCAGTCAACTTACTGCACCACAAGGCTGGGCCTCACATTTTTTTTTGCATGAAAATAGACTTATGCTTTAATTCCGTTCTTGAAAAAAGTTTTCAAAAACTTTTTGAAGTCCTTTCATATTTTCTGTGACTTGTTCTCTTACTTAACATGTTGTGGGATTCACCCAGTATTGATGTTGTGGGACTGTTTTTGTAGAACACGTTTTTTCCCTTGTTGGAAAGTATTCCAATGTAGAAATAGATATTACTTTGTTTATTATTTCTGCTATTATGGTCATTTACTGTTTCTAGTTTTTGCTATTTTTTTCCTTTTATTACTAGTTGTGCTCACTGGAGAGACACAGAGAGAGACAGAGAAACAGAAAGTGAGAAATCACCCCTCATGGGGAATGGTCACACCACAATCACTTCTCTTAAATCTCCTCTTGGGGCTTGGGGCATAGATGCACGTATGCCTGTTGTGAGTTTCAAGCTGCAAGGTCAGAGACTCAAACCACAGTCAACCATGTGGGAATCCAGCAATTTAGCCACTATACCACCTGCTAGCCCCATCTTGCCTGTTTTCCTATTGGATTGTTTCTCACACATAACACTCTTACTTATTTACAGGAATTCTTTATATATTCTAGACACTACTTCTTTGTTCTAATCTGTAGGTTGCAAATATCCTTCCCACTTTGTGCTTGGTCTTTTAATTTTACATTTAGTGTGTGATGAACACTATAACACTATTATTACTTAATAATTAGGAGAGTATGAGTATTCTTCATTTGACCAGATAATTCAACATTACTGCTCAGAATGCTCTACAAATCTATATTCCCATCACCACAGTTTATGTGTTACTATGCCGTCACCAAAGTTTACGTGTTACTATGGCCTTACATTCATTCCCATCTTGGCATGGACAAGCTCTCTTGTTTTCCCTGGTAAATCAGACATAAAGTGTGATCTCATTATTGAATTTCTCAAATTACCAATGAATCTGAGCATGTCTTTACATGCCTCTGAGGTTTTCTGCTACCATTAAGATAAATTGTCTACTTACATCTTTTGCTATTTTTCTATTGATGTTTGTGTTTACTGTAGGAGTACTGTGTATTCAAGTTATTAACTAGTTAATAAGTTAATTCAGTTTTAAACATTGAAACAATCTTCTCCCTTTTATGTCTGTCTATAAACTTTGTTCAGTGTGTACTTAAGTTAATAGAAATACCTAACTTTGATGTAAGTCAGTCATTTTTCCTGTACTCGTGTTTGTGTTTCTGACATTTTGCAGTCTTACACATTTCTACGTGACAAAGTTGTTGTTGTTTTTTTTAATCTATTAACTTTATAGTTTTTCCTCTCAGGTTTTAATGTTTAATTCACTGAGACTCAATCTTTGAACGTGATCAAAGATTCAGGATCCAGTTTTGTTTTTCTCTCTTTCTCTAGAGAATAAGCTACATTTCCCAATAATATGTACTAAACACCCAATGCTTCCCTTCATTGATTTGTGGCACCACTTTTATCATATATTAACTACTCGAAGTTCTTAACCTTTCTCTTCTGTTATAGTGTTCTATTTGTCTAGTTTTGCATAACACCACAGTGCTTTACAGCTGCAGCTTTTTTACAAGGGAGAAATAGACAAGGAGAGACAAAGTTGCCCCTGACAGGTCCTCACACCATGATCTACTAAGATGAAGAGAAAGCACTCCCAAAATGAGGCTTGGTCACAATGCAACCCCTTTTCCTCCATTTATCCATCCTGTTGGGATTTGGGGAATGCCATGTACACACATCTGGCATATTTTACAAGGATCCAGGGCCAGCACTCAAACCAAGTGATTGGCCAAGAGGAATCTGGCTTTCTTAACCACTATGACACAAGGATAGCCTCCTGGTATTTTTTAAGAGCCTTATCTTTCAAAAAGTTAAATGCATTGGGAACCAGCAGTTAGCGTAATGGCTATGTCACTGGATTCCCATGTAGTCGACTGCGGTTCGCGTCCCGGACCCGGTGACTTAGAACTCACACCAGGCACATGTGCGTGCGTGCCCAAGATCCCGAGAGGAGAATGGAGGAGAAGGGATTGCGGCGTGACCATCCCCCCTGGGGGGGTGATTGCTTGCTTTCT